TATCAATCTGTAATAAAAGACGTGAGGAAATTCTGTCTTTTTTAAAGACAAAAATTTTTGAGGCGAAATACCCAAAAAGAAGTTTGTAAAAATATGTTTTTTGAAATGTCGGAAAAATGCATTTTAATGAAACTCGCTCTCAATTTGTTCCTATGTAAGATTCATATATGTTCTGATGAAGCAATTGGAGTTCATCCGCTTTAAGCAAGTGAGGAATTCTTGAGTGACTTAGAACAAAAACTACTAGAATCACCTGATGCACTAATTATATTTAATCAGTTTTGGGCTCTTTGTGAACTCTTGTAGACTTCAGTTCTTGAACAAAAAAATGATTACTATTTTCTTGTAACTTAACCATTTCAGATATTTATATACTGCACACGTTGTAGTATATTTTTAACTGACCGATCTATTTTTTTATTAATTTTTATCTGACCGACATGTTCCGTTACCGTTGAATTGCGTTCATCCGAAATCTCAGGAAGAGAAGAAGAGTTTTTAGTAAAATATCGTCCTAACATAGGAACAAATCCACAGCAAGTTTTATTCAAATCCATATCTGCGTCTTCACGAAATTGCAAAATGGCTAATTTAAGGATTGTTAATGTGAAAAGGTAATTATTACGAAAATAGATAATAAAAATAAAAATAGTAATCGATATCTAAAATTGTCAGGTGGCAAGCGAACAGAAACTATTTTTTTGCTTAAAAACTGAATCATACGAGAGTTTACAAAGAGGACAAAAATATCAAAAGGGAACTATAATGCATCAACTCAAGAAAAGTCAGATGATTCCAGTTACCAAATAAAAAGTTCTGGAAGTTTTTGCACCAAGATACTCAAGAATTCCTCACTTGAACCAAAGCGGACGAATTCGGTTGATACATCAAAACCAGTCTTGCATATAGGAACCGCTTGTTCCTATATGACGAACTTCACTAAAATCCATTGCACCGATATTTCAGAAAACATATTTTTTGTGGAGAACTTTGACCATGAATAGCAAAGAAGCGAGTCATTTTTTCTTAGTAAAAGTTTGGTCAGATCGTATTCTTTTGATCGAAAAAATATCACAGCAATCTTTTGACCTTGTGCTTACGGGACACCCTGTAAATTAAGCTTAAATGCTCGCTTATGCACCGTCCAGAATTGAAGTTTTTTACCACACTTATCCACATCAAATTGCACCAGACTTCGACTTCCTGCTGCATATACAGATATGGTTGTTTCATCCATAAAGTAAAATAATTATTCGCACCCTCTACAAATAAATTTCTCAAACTGATCCAAACCACCGCTCAATAATTCTCAGCTCTACTTAAAACGATTAAATAGTTAAAACCTTTGAATATAAAGCTAACTTTTCAGTTATAGTTTATATTCAAAGGTTGAAACAAATATTAATTCGTCTTTGATTGAAGACATTCATCCATTCAGCAACCACATGGATTAATATTTGAACCCTTGTCGGGCACATTTGCTTACATTTCATGGCTTATCGGTTGAATTGGCCGCTCCATAATTAATTCATAACTATACGAGGAAAATTCCTGTTTTCTCACAAAACTTGTAAATTTACCCGACAACATTTAAGGCTCCGGAATTTAAGCCTTTGATGTGTCTTTGTACTCCACATGCTTAATGAGAGCCCGACATTCTTGATGTTCGTAATTCACGTGTTTATGCATGGAACAAGGCTGCTTTGAGGTGCGTTAGTTATCGGTTTTGGCTACTGTCCTAATAATTGTCTTTTACGGATTTGCTATGCCTAGGAAAGTGTACACAGGGATTTTCATGTATAAAATGTTGCACGTTTCTAATTTATATGAAGCAAAAGGCCAGTTGGTACTAATAACTTACAAAAATCTGTTCTTTTTTTATGAACTATGGATAATTCTTCAAACTTTGGTCCTAGCTGTTGAGAAAAATGTGTAGCAAAATACAACTTTTGAGACCCCACAAGCACTTTTGCAAAGTGATACGCGTAAAAATTGATACCACCAGATAGTCTGGAAACACTGTCTGGTTGCGAAATAGCACAAGTATCTCAGCGTAAATTACTAAAATCAAATTGCACTGGGAACTTATTAGTACCCATGGAATAATCGAGTGATGTTTGGCCTTATCGCCCCGGTTTAGAGCGCAATTATTCAGACACGAATAATCGCCCTTTACATATTGTTCACTTATTTACTGTACCCGAAGCAATTTGCCCCCCAGTTAATAGACCAACGTGTTTGAGGTGACATTTTTAATTACTCGGTTATTTGGCCTGAACTGATTTCCAATTAAAACCAATTTGTTATCAAATAGGATTGAACACTGTGGATTATTTAGTGGAATATGAAATTTCGATTAAGCCATCTAGGTTTCCATAATGGGATTTTGTAGTTGGAAAAGTTAATTGTTAGGTGTGGTTTTATAAGTACGCGCAGCTGAGGCGACTGCATTGAGGTAAAAAAACACCAATAGTTTCATTTTAATGGTTTACGACGGTCTGACTGTTACAGTAGCAACACATCCCAAATGTTCAGTTTCAGATTCTATAGCCACTTTCGCCTTTGCGAAATTGACTATAGAATCATCTATAGAAACTTTAGTCAAAGAGCGAGAAGCCCATGTCATCGTCCTCTGACTCGGACTCTTCCTTCTTCTCTTCCTTTTTCGCTTCGGGCGCAGCTGCAGCAGGAGCAGCCGCTACTGGCGCGGCAACAGCTGCAAATTTGCTGGGATCCTAAAATGAACAGTAACATTAAACTCCATGTTGACGTCCACATTGTCAGTGCTCTGCTAAATGTATTTTATTACCTTAATAAACTCCTTAATTGTCGAAGCTTCTTTGAAGTCTACGTCCGTAACGGCAGCGATTGCCAACAAGTTCTTAAACCCGTTGGCAATGCTATGAGGCGCCGAAGCGATAGTTGGGTATCCAACGGCGAGACATACTGAGGCCAAATTGGCCACACCAGCCAGGAAACGTTCCTTCAAGTCTTCAGGCTTGATGTCCAAAATAGCAGGAGCAAAGATGGTACCAGAGTCATAAACTTGTTCAACGATAAGACCATATGAAAATGGCGAAATGTTCAACATGTTCAAGAGAGTGGCTTCAGATGCTCCAACTTTGTCCCCGGGTCTCAGAATGTTCACATCATTAACGATTTCAATCGTACCTGTAAAACATTCACGTTTAATGTTTCAAGAAATAAACATGCGAATGTTTTCAATTGTGTCAATGTGAAATATCAGTATAGGTTTCCACAAAACCGCGCAGTTAGCTGGAGGTTCAACTATTTCTAGTACCAGTAACAAACGCGTTTCAGAGACGAAAAATATTAATCATCATGTGATGGGTGCTTATGAAACGCATAGAGTAACAAAGTCTGAATGCTTACCCTTTGAAATTTTTGTGGGAATGCTCAGAGCTTGGAAGAAAGATGTTTTTTCTGGGGGCAGCCCGGTGTTCTGGGCCGGAATAACGACAGATAACGGAGCAATGGCGCCAGCACGAGCAGGAGCCCTGACTTTGTTCTCCAACAGCCTGTCTCTCACTTCCACGAGATCTCCACTGGTGAAAACAAAGCCAACATTCCCCTTGATGTGAGGCAATAGTTTCTCCAATGAGGCATTGGATTCCACGTGCCCTTTGATGGCCTTCCGCATCATGGTGTTCTTACCCATAAGGACGACGGCGCTTCCTCGCAGGGAAATACGGATTTGTTGCATCTGTTTAGAGCCGACATTGTCAGCGCCCACAATGAAACACTTTGGGTATTCCTCCAACAGGTTCTGGAATAGATTTGTCTTGTATTAGCAAACCAATTGGAATTAGAGGCAAAAGGGTTGATTATGTCAACAGAAATCAGTCATTACAGTATTCACATGAGGAGCCCGGGGGTTCAGCTATTTCTAGCACCGGAATTCGATACGTAGTGTTTACATCATTAACACGTCTAAAGTACTGCAAACTAAATAATTATCAAACAGTACTTACAATAAGCTTAACGAAGTAGTTCGACTTCCACGTTGCCTTGTCCTCCCTACCCATCTTTACAGTAGCTAGGGACTCGTAATGAATTTAAGAACTACAACAACGAAACATTAATGGAACATTTCCCTATTTAGCACGTGAGTAATGATTTAGAACAAAGTGGGAGGTTATGTTCGGAATAAAGCTAACCAACAGCTATTCATATAAAATAATCCTTCATTTCTCTAAAATTGAAGAAAACTAGCAGTAATACTGCATTAAAACTATCTGCACAAACATAAAATTGATAAGACAGGACAGATGAGAGGGTATATGTTGAAAAGAGTAAAACATGTTATTCCGATAAAAAGCAACAAATGGACTGGAAAAGCTTCTGATTGTTTAAACATCATGCAAAAGGGCAATAGTAATGCATTAAAAATGTTGACTAAAGTACTAGGATTAATAAAATTAAAGCGAAATACAATTTTGGGAACAAAACATACCTTGGCTATAAACTCTCAGACACTGAGGGGGTTGAGGGGGAGAGGAGACGCTGACAACTTGGCAGTGACAAGACACAGACGAGCGACATCTATGAATCACATAAATCAACATGCAGAAATTGCAAAATGCAGGGTAGTCAACCGTGCCAAAAGTCCATTTTTTAACTGTTTTCAACGTATTTTACTTGAACAAAATTATAACTTCAAATTGCAATTAAAATATATGAGAGTATTTACTTTGCAGACTGATGGAGCGTTTACAAAAATAAAGCGAATTACTTCCCCACAAATGTTGGCAATGCTGTTTATTCCACCCGGAAACCGGAAACTTCGTTTTTTTCGCCTTCGTTTGCCCTTTTCACTCATCCGTCAATTCAAGTTCATCGGAAAACTTATTTGCGTTTTTTTCAAAAAATTTGGCCCAGTTTTCACACATTCAGAACGCAGTTCAGGTAAGAAAACTCCTCTAAATCGTTCGATTGCATTTTTTGCTATTCAAGGTCCCAATTTCTTCAATGCGCATTTAGGGTTCAAATTTAAGGTTAAGTTTACTAGTTTTTACGTAACGTGTTTATTCTGGATATTTTGGGACTTTGATATATCCAAACCGATTAACCGGTTTGTGATTCAGTTTCATCCAGTGCCCCAAACGAGTCGCACCTTGTTATACACGCAATCACTGAGGCGTCAGCTATTTAAAAATCACTAGACGCCAGTGGGGTATAGTTGGAACTCTACTGTTTCAGGTCAAACTTTGGTCAGTGGGATAATGAAACTGTCGCTAGCCACCTATTTATCTCTACGAATTACCACTATAGCCCAGGTGAGTGCCACTTTTTTAGTATCTAATTAGAATATGCAAAAACAGGCGCCAGATCAGGCCGGGCCTGGATTAGGGCTTGCAGTCGTTTGTTCGGTTTA